AAAAATATTTTGTTTTACGAGTCGCCGCTCAGTTCGTCACTGCGTTACCGCTGCCCGTGCCGCTCTGTGTGGTGGCATCGCATCGGGTTGCGAGTACCTTTGTTTCCTCCGCGCCACGCTGCACCAAAAATCGCTCGCGTTGTCACCGGGGCGGCATATCGTGGAGTGATTCAACATTTTAGTACATTTGTTCTTACAACTCACCGTCCCGCGCTAAGATGCCGTTGATAGCAGCGAGGTCGTGGCCAGGCTGTAAGGGTCAAGTTCCGGTAGAATCACGCTCCAGTATAAAAATACTTTACCATATAGATATCGGACCGTGATATGTGTATATCGGTCGTAATACGTTGGTCTTTGCGCCTGATTTCTCACTGCGAATGTTGGATTTTTTTGACAGTGAATTCGAGAACTTGAACTTGAAAGGGAAAGTTATTGAAGATTGGAGGGATAGTTATAAAGGGCACGCATTGTTGAACTCAAATTCAAATTTAAAATATTTTACTCAGCATTAAATTATTACATTTTTTACTGAACGCCATGAGTCTACTACCAGTTCGGAAAGAAGAAGCCTCAGACCTGAGAACTGACGAAAGAAACTCAACAGGACTAATAGTATTACGTTTTTTTTCTTAGTTAAATTATAATTAACAATTCCGTAGGTCGTAGCCGAATCGGTCAGGAGGTCATTATCATTATGTTTATGGGTTGCAAACTAAATATCTAATAATATGTAGTTGCAATAACAATGCATAAAACTTCATTTTCTGTGCTAAAAGTGGTATAAATCTAGTTCTTATCGCCATTTGTACTCACAAAATGGGTCAAAATTACGAGGCATAAAGTGATTCATTTCATTTTCAATACTACGTACTTACCATATAAACATTTTAAAACAAGCAAAATCCGCGGCTTTGCTCACGCTAAAATAAAAAAATACTCTTTGGCTTTATGCAAAAGGCATTTTTGAAATGGACTCAGTAGTTTCAGAGGTTAAAGATAAAGACCATGATTGTAAAAAAGCATTTGAACGTCTGGAACCAAAAATCAAAATAAATTTGCGAAAAAAATCAAAATGATTTTGGTTCTTTTGCTTTCACTAAAAACCTCTCATCAACAATCTTAGTTCAGTATGTGAGGGGTATTTTTAAATTACATTACATTTTATTTTAATTACATTCAAAATAGGTTCATTAACTCTGATACGTGCAATTAAATTGGCAAAACCAAAAATAAAGGTATCGTAATGCAGTAATAAATTTGTTTACGGAAACACAATTTAAATTTTGAAATATCAAATTTTTTAATCTATAGTAGTAGTATTATTTAATTGTAATTATATGTATGCCTAGTAGCGAAATACCACCCACTGGTTACCAAATAACACGACCTCAAAACCACAAAAACCACATTTTTGATATTTTAATGGTCGCCATCTCAGGAGAAGTCTCTTTGGGTTGGACTTTTTATGTGTTTAAGTTGCGGTTTACAATTATTTTTTTATAAATATCGAAATTACTTTAAATGAAGGTATAATGAAATATATGTAAATAAATTATAATACTAATTAGTTGGCATATATTTTTTTTCATTACACAAAGGCTAGTTAAACTGAAAAGGCCAAGGTTATATTGAAACATTCGAGGGATATTTAAATTGGTATAACTTTCCAAGGTGCAGTTGAAGAACGAGAGGTACAGCGTTTGATTCCCGGATCGCGCCAAAAGATTTATTGAATCTTTCAATCACTTTCGGAAGATGTATAAAAAAATCGGTAGACTAACAGAGGGAGATAAACCGAGTCTTTGTCTATTTATATGTAATAGATTGTTATTCTTAACTGCACCGTTCCTTCAGATCAAAGCATAAAGCTAGATACGAGATACTACTAGATCTGAATTGTCATAATGAAACTGCCTCGTTAAGTCTATTATTTGGGCCAAAACCTAAGCCACTAAAAATCTGATCAAAGTCAGAAAATAATGATAGTTAAATATATATGACACGAATTCATGGTGACATGACGGCTTTGTAATAAGATGGAACATCAAACTTTTGTATGTACGAGTGCTTTGGTAGGATAATTCTAGGAAACCTGTCAAATTCAACTGTAACCACATAATATAATCTTACATTGCTACTTTTGGGGTTCCGCAGCCAAAGTCAAAACCGGAATCAACACAAGCTTAGTACTTTCGTAGATGTTGCACGAATATTTGATTTAATAAAACTATCTTTTCGTATTTTTTCGCTGATTTCTTTTAATTTTTGGTTCCCGACGTTTTGAATGTTTTACATCAATCATGGTCACGTATTTTTTGAAATCATTTCGTAATTTTGTGGGTAGGTACAGCTATTTGTAACAACAAAATAATGCCTTTGAGACATCTAAAACCTAAGTCTCTCCCGTGACCATGATTGTTGTAAAGCATTTGAAACGTAGATAATCTTAAATCAAATTAAATCCGCGAAAAAAATCGAAAGGATAGTTTTATTTAAAACTAGCATTGTCCGCGGATCCGCCCGCATTCAGTTGACCAAAAACCTAATTCTTAGGTTATACATATTAGTATACTCTTACATTGTAATTTTTGTATTTTTTCTCAGAAATGAGACATATTCCCGGTGTCAAAAGTATTCTATATATTGACCCGGATAGCCAGCTATTACCATACCAAATTTCATCAAAATCCCTTCAGTGGTTTTTCTGTGACACTAATAGACAGATAGACAAAAATTCTAAAAACTATAAATTCGGCCTCTGTATCGATAATAATGTTTATTTCAATAAGATTTTCCAAAAAAATATTTAATGTACAGATTCGGCTTAATTACAATTTTATTATATGTATAAGATGTCAAATATTCGCGTAAATGTAAAAAAAATGAAAATTATGTGTAAATATTATTATCAGTTGATGCTAAAGCTAATGACTGTTCAATTTTAAGGTGTTAACTTATATCAGGCTTCCTACACACAGCAGATTTAGTTGCGTAAGTAAAACGTCCTTGTATGCAATATCCTTGGATACTAAACCTAAATATACAATGCATTAGAGTAGATAACTACTTATTTTTTCTCTGTATTGCATTATCGATAATACTCTACGTATTATAATCTGTGATCTCTGCTTAGAATCTCGTTTGAGAAAGTACTTACTAAGCTTCGTTATAATTTGATTTTCTCCTGATTTGTTATATTGTTACCTTATTTATATTATACCTTCTAGCAAAACCCGCGGCGTCGCCCGCGTTGAATCTACAAAAAAAACTCTGGCTTTATGTTATACAGCGACTCACACTCGCTTTGCTTGTATTCGTTGCTATATATTTATATAATACTAGCAGTACCCGCGGCTTCGCCCGCATTCAAACTACTAAAAAAAACAAACTCTTTGATACACCGACAGCAGCGCCACCTACCGGGTCCAATTGTGTTTTCAAACCATCCAGGAGCCCATTGAAATATAAACAAAAAAATCATCCAAATCGGTCCAGCGCTTTAGGAGTAAGGTGACAAACACATGTACAGAAAAATAAAATAATATAAATTAAGGATTGTTCATACAAAAATATTAAAATCGCGATAAAAAATGGGGGGTGGGGGGAGGTGGGTGAAAAATACTTTACGACCTATTCTCTTACCTACCAAATATACATAATACAAAAAAAACATTAAAATCGGTCGAGCCGTTTCGGAGGAATGTGAATACAAACACCGCGACACGAGATATTTAATTATATTAAACTGTTACCATACATAAGAAATCTTTTTAAGCCAACTGGTAAGGTGCGAGGCATTGCCAAAACAAGTATCTTTGATTATTTATTGGGAAGGCTCAGCGTAAAATATTCTACCTAAGTTATCATGAATAAAGATATTTTTATTGTTTTTATTTTATTATCTTGCATATTATTTACAAATTTAAATAGTTTAACGGGACATGATAGAGATCATGAGTTTATGAGAGTCACGAGATTACTATATCTATCTACTAGGTACTCTCTAACGATTATTTCATTACAGATAAACATCAGTTACTATTTTGACCCGATCCGAGATTCAAACCAAGGATCTCTCAAGTTCTCAACCTGCAGTAGGTACATGTAAACCACTTACATAACCAAGGCGCTTAGACAAGTTCTACAATCTACAACACTTGTTCTACAATCTACGACAAGTTCTACAATACTTATTGAATATATCATTTTCATAGATTCATGTGTCATTCGATTATATTTTTTAGATTTCTATTCTACAACGATTATAGATATCTTTCCTTAAAGATATCGATATTGTTTTCAGTAGGACAGTGTTTGATAAATATACTATACGAGCGACTCTAAATTCAGACTGATCAAGTTAAAGTACCTATGTCATAAAAATTACATCTACCAACTAAAAAAATAAACTATGCATATAGTACAAAACTTATATAGAATTTTCTGGTATTATCATATTATCAGTAAAATAAATTAGAACATGCAATATATGTGTTTAAAATTCAACCTCAGAATAAATATATAATAGATATAAGGTATAATACCTTAGTCTGAGTTTTCAACTTAAATAAAAACTTCATTTAGGTATTGTAATTCAAAAAAGACAACCCGAAAAAAAAATTCAAATCCAAGTTCCAAAAGTCAACATCAGATTCAGTTAACATTTTTAGTTCAAAGCTCAAGCGAACTAAGCGTATAACCTTAAATTAAAAAAATAGAACTAGAACTTAGAATCTTAAAATCATACTTCAAAATCAATATACAACCAAAAAAAAACAATGTATAACTTTACAATAAACGCGGTAATAACAAACTAAAAAACCAAAAAAGAACAAAAAAAAAGGACAAAATATCTATAATATGTGCAATACTAAAAAAAATAACTTTCCGAGTCCTTTAAACTTTAAAGGATTTTTTAAAGATGGAACTGTTTTGTTTAAAGTTTAAAGAAAAAAGTTCCCGAATATTAAGTAAATAAATAAAATAAGTAGGTAACTTACCCGTTAATTCGAAAGCGTCTTCAAATACCATTTCATTTAGCTTTCCGAAGCTGCGCTCTGCATCCGCTTGCATTTCGCCTATTTTCTCTGCACTACGTTTGCTTGCTTCAATAAAAGCTTTTACTTCATTAAGTCTCTCTAAGCTTCTTTCTGATGAACTATTATCAGTATCATGAGACATTTTGGTTAAAATAAAAAAATCTACGTAAAACTCTAAATTCGAATTCTCTTCTCTAAGCGAAATATTTCACTTTATAAAAATACCCTATCATTACAAGCCAAATTCGTATTTTATATTTGACTTAAAAATATATACAATGAATCATTTTTTTATATAATATATTATAAATAAAATATTTGCACGTGCTTCGATTCACGCAATCCCCGACCGTTCTTCGCGGGGTCCCGGAATGCACTAACTAATTATAAGTACAGTTAACCGAGTTACTGTGAACATGAATGCTTAGATAAAACAAATATTGAAATATCACCTTTAAATGTATAGACACAAGTCGGATAATAGCATGCTCATTATATCGTCTTATAACCTATATTTATAGGCTCGGTTGTGAATTTTATATCATTGAAATAGGGATTATAATGCAATGTTGAAATATCCAGACGGTTGGCAAATGTGATGCGATATCATGAAAATAAGGAATCAAAGGAATTTCAGCTTTACTTTTAATACGTTAGGAGTGTTAATCGCGTACAGATTTATGAGTGTAGATGACAATTTTTGGTTTTGTGGTGAATCGTAAACCCATGATGATATGATGTAAGTAAGGTTGTTATTACTATAACGGGATATAAGTGAAATTTGCCAACATTTTTGCATTTACATTTTAATATGCTAGTGTACAATGTACATGCATGGGTGATACCAAAAATGCATTAATTTAAAATTCAAGTATATATTACCTTATTATGTATGTAGGTTTAATATTATGTTTAAATACTACTAATATATAATATTGCATGTAACGAAAATTTATTGCGCCAATTTCATACCTAACAGCCACTTTTTTTCGTCTATTTTTGAAGTGAAAAGTTCTATAGACAGGTTTGGATGGGGGTAAATTCATGTAAGTTGTCATCGACATGGTCACGTGACGTGTAAACGCTAACACTCAGAGTGCCGATAGATGTCGAAACCAGATAAATGTAAACAGTTTTAATTTACAAATTTTAATTTAAGATCAAACAATTAATTGGAATATCCAAAAATAACAACTGTTTGTTCATAGCTTTAAAGTTTAATTGTTCACTTCTGTCGGCAGTCTTCATGACTGCTTTTTATAAAAAAAAAACATGGTTAAAAGTATCATGAAAATCGGTTCAATATATATCTCAATATATTTTACATTTATATGGGAGGCAGTTTAAAAAATAATAATATACAAATATATTAGGTTATCTTTTAAAACGGAACATGATTGAAGTCTAGCTAGTAACCATATTATATGCCTAAAAAGTATTTTGAGGAAATGAAATAAAAAGAAGTTAAGCAAGATTAAAAATGCAATATTTCAATACATGAACGTGACATTTTCTGTCATTTGGACACTTTAAGTCCCGAACTGTCCGATGCATATCATTTCCGAGTCCAAACCACAGGCCTTTATCAAATTTGGTGACGGCACCGTTTTTAAATTTAAGGTAAAGGCCTAAGTGTTTTGGGTTCAAAATAAAAAACCAAATGAGAAAGCCAAGTGGAGAAATACGCTGAAATCGTAACAAAATAATATTAGGTTTCTTTGAAATGCTTTTTTAAGCAAATGTACAACACTACAGTTTTTGTTGAAGTTTCAAATAAAGTAAGAGTGATTTGAATGAAATTGAATGAAAGAGAGGATGATCATATTATCCATTAAAAGTTTGTTTATTTTTTGTAATACATACTAAATTGTAATTCTGTCTATTACCTTTTCACGCTTAAACCGCTGAATAGATTTCGATAAAAATTTGCAAGATCATAAAGTGCATTGTGGGGACGGATATAGGCTACTGATGATCAGCGCCCCACTTAACACGCAAATGAAGCCGCGGGCAGCAAAGTAGTTAATCCATATAAATATTACGAGAGAAGTTATAACTTTAACTCACCATAACTGACTGACTGACTGCGTTCCATATAATAAACATCTATACAATATATATTAAACATCTATACAATATATAATAAAATTATAACCAGGTCGAATCTGTACATTAAATATTTGTTGGAAAATCTTATTGAATTTTATCGATACAGAGGCCAAATCTATTGATTTTAGAATTTTTGTCTGTCTGTCTGGGAACACATCACGAAAAAATCACTGGAACGGTTTTTATGAAATTTGGTATGATGATAGCTGGTTATTCGAGTCAACATACAGGATATATTTCACTGCGGGAAAATGTGTCATCTCTGAAAAATCTATACTAAACGTTAAAACGTAAGTACGGACGAACCCGAGCGGAACGAGAGTGAGTCGCTAGTGTATTTATAAAAAATATGAACATGTGTAACTAATTCTAAAATCGCTTCGGTTTACGCTTGACTAAGTTAATAGATGATGTGGCTTCGGCATACCTGCCATAGGGGCATAGTGGTTGAGTGCGTAAGCAAACCTGCGACCCTCCATTAGGACGAGTGGGGTTCTTTTGGGTTTTAGTGGTTAGTACTGGTTTTTCTAGCCCGTGAGTCCCACATAACCAACTGTATGCATACAGCATGCGTAAATGCGTTTTCCAACATTAAACATAAACAGAGTAGACCACAACAACCACGGGGTTGCTTCAAGGTCCACTCTGCTATCAGAGAAGTACCAAGAGCAACCCGCATGGTACACCGCCCCCCGAGGAGGGCCACCTCCGACCGCCCACGGAAGTGGACCACCTCCCTGAGCGTCTTGGCTTCGCTACCGGATCAATTGCCGGGCACTACTGAGCCCCCCCCCCCCCCAACAAGGTGAACGCCCGTTGGAGGGGAAAATTATAATTACCCGGAGTTTTGTCATTCGGTTCCTTTTTTTATAATGCCACGGGACAATTTTAGGTAAATTATAATCGAAAAATAAAATGTAATCGAGCAAAACCTCACTCAATCTCACGTGGGAAAGGGTGGTCTCGGCAAATATCACGATAATCATTTTCGCATGTAACAGTGTAAAATTGCGAGAAAACTGGGTTAATTTAAGTAAAAAATGTTTCTCCACTAAAATATGGCTAAATTTATATAATTAAATTATTAATATAAAGTTTAATTATGTACTGATAGAAGAATTACTACTTAATTAACTTATTTTTTATTTTGAAATTTTTGAATTGTTATTTATTTAATTACCTAACTCTTAATAAATTCATTTTTTTAGAAACAATTTATTCATTTATTAATACGAATAAATAGTTCTTAACATTCAATAAATTTTCGTTAACTATTAATAAATATTTATTAATAGTAGATAAATTGTTTGGAATGAATACATATTTCCTTTTCATACACGGTGCGATAAGGTCATTCATAAAAAAATTATGCCACAACTTTTTGTAATAAACATATGATGCACTAATAATTTTCACTGGAAAAAAAATTGTATAACTTTTTACAACCATTGTTTTATTATTAATTTTATTTTGTCCACATTTTTATAAAATATTATTAATTTACTTGATCTTATAGATTTTTTTATTGAAGTTATGGCGGAATAAAAAGTGTCAAAGTAATATTTTTATTCTAACTTTTTATTCAACGGTCTAAAGTTTAGACTCTTAAACAAATAGTCATTAACTAACTATAAATAAATATTTATTAACAATTAATAAATTGTATTTATTAAACAATTTGTTAATTCCCTATTCATCAATAATATTCTTTAACTGTTATCTTATAAATTTTTACTAAGTCGTCTAATTTCAAATAATCATTTATTAAAAGTTTAATTTATTTAAAGTCTTAGATATAAAATATAAAAGAAAATTGTTTTTTTTTTTAAATAAACATAATGTGTAATGGAAGCACACATTAACTTATTTATATTGCAAATACTTGATTTAAAAATATCACATGATATTTTTCAAGTTTTTCACGTGAAATTTTTGTAAGGGTGTCGAGCCAAACCTCAAGAAGTCTTACCAAGGGAGGAGCGGGGGTCGAATAATCGCCAAAATTGTCTCACGTAATTAATGCATGTCCCTAACGTAGCTTGAGAAGCGTAGCGTAGCTCCCGTGGTAGCCTTCTCGTGAGGTCTTTTTTTAATTTCAAAGCCAGAACAAGGCAAGGCAAAACAAAGGCTACATCTGACATCTATTGGCGAATAATAATACTATTTTTTTTAATTGTAATCTGTATCTCGGAAACGGCTCTAACGATTTTGATGAAATTTAGTATATAGGTGGTTTCGGGGGCGATAAATCGATCTAGATTAGTTTTATGTCTGAGAAAACGCGTGTTTTCAAGTTTTCATGCAGTTTTCTTTTGCATTATTCCAAGCAAAATATGGCCGGTAATTTGCACGCGCGGGCATAAGCATCGTGGTCAAAGCGGCCAAGGTGCAAGATCAACAATTACAAGTGTCCAGGTTCGAATCCCGGTCGGATACAAAAGGTATAATTTATAAATATTTGTTTTTTTTTTGTATTTATTCAAGTTTTTAGTTTTTTTTTTAAAAGAAAATTGTACTTTTGACCATAAACTCCGAGCGAAGCACGGTGGCCCTGGTACTGTATAGTAAACTATAACAGAAACGTAAAATTGGCGAAAGCGTGCCTGATTGTAAACCCCAATATATATATTTTTTATCTTTAACATACTAAAAATTATGGAAAAATGCACCTATAGATGGATCAGAGCGAAGCGAGGATGGGCCACTTGTATACGTATTAATTTTTAAAATTTATAAACGTGAAAGTTTGTGTCTCTTTCACGCCAGAACGGCTGAACGGATCTGGATGAAATTTGGCATAGAGATAGATTATAGTTTAGAATAACACATAACCTACTTTTTATCCCGGAAAAATGTACTATTAGGTATATAAATTATTATAATGGTAATTATCAAGCCAATTCTTCATTGTCTGTAAAGCATATTATTACCTCAATGTTGCAGCTATCGAACGACACAGCATAAATTGAATAATAATGATATAAATATATGTTCAATACTAAAAAATTTTTTTTTATCAAAAATATAAAACAA